TAAGTTGTCTAACACATTCACATCCAGGTCTGTGTATGTTCTTTGCTGCTGTGCTACCAACTGACAAAAGTTCTGAGCAGCTTTTACTATGTCTGCTTTTCCATCTTCCGGAGACAGCACCTTCAATGTAGATTGGCAATTTAAAACTGAAAGTACAAAACACAGTTTAAAAGCAACAGAAATATAGTTGTTTTGAACACGCTTTAGATATTTACAGGATATGACTGAAAGTAACTTGTAGTTTACTTCATATATTATACAACTAGTCATAGATATATCTCATCTGTCTCTTACAGAAATGGAGAAGAGTCTTCCGGATTTGCTGTATTACTAAAACACAAGTTTAAGGTGACTACTTTGAGGAGTCGTATGAAGAGTGGTTTAATTAATGTCAGTCTTGAAAGGTAGAGTCTTCCAGGGAATTTGCATTGGTTCTTATGCTGTCAGGCAAAGCAGTGAGAGGAAGGTGCCTAGACAGTAACTTGGGGGGTGGTAACCAATGCAGAAAGACCTGCAGTTCAGGGAAAGGAAAAAAGATCTAATTCCTACCCTAAAAGAGGAAGGTTTTCCAACAGCTACTGCGGACATTCACGTGACAATGATTAAGTTGGGGCCCTCCCAGAATACCATCCCAGGATCTTTCAGCAGCACTTCAAAATTGATGCAAGAGTTACAATATTGATTTAAGATTGCTACAGAGAAGCTAGGAACCAAATAATAGTACCAGAATTCACCCATTAATCTGTAATTATGTCTGTGACTTAAGAGGACATTTCACAACAATCTTACCATCTACACTACTGCAAGTCTTCTCACTCTGCATGACTTGCATCATTTTCAGTTCTGATAAGGTACCTAAGAGGTAAACTCGCCAAAGGAAGCTGAAGGCTTACATATACCATACTAAACCCAGCTTGAACTTTTAACTGGGTTAAAAACTAGTGTGTATTATACATTACATTTATACAGAAAGTTATAAACAGATACTTAAAAATAGCATTTCTTATTACTGCAGAATCTGACTGCAAAGGACCACAGAATACAGTCAGAAGACTCATAAGAACACCTAGAAAACCTCAGTTAGTCTATCCAAAGCCACCATAATGAAAAAGCTGTTCCTTGATATTCTTTGATTTGTTGTATTATCCTATGTTAAAGAATATTTCTCAAACAATATTCATAGATGCAAAACATCATTTTGCTTCTCAGAAAAAGTGAAAAATTGCAGTTTAGTATTATAAACTCCACAGAGTCAGTTCAAAGTACAAAGCATCTGAGCTGACTGTGAAGCCTTCTAAGTAAGAATGAAAAATTCTAAAGAGAACACAAAACACCTCTGCTTTTCATTGTCTCCAGCATAAAAGGTTCCTAAGACTTAAATGTACCCTTTCAGTCAGCAAGTCTGAGCAGTCTTTCAGTAGTTCATGTGGTCTAGATGTAAACATCCCAATTTAGGTAAGTGCAGCTAAGTATTTTAGAGTTTAAGACATTAACAGCTTGTTTACCCAGTTTTCTACTGGTTATTTCAACCTTCACAGGAATAAAGAGAAATAACAATAAACTTGGCTGTTTCCACATAAATGGTAGGACCTTCAGCTAAGTTGCTTATAAGGCAAATTTCTGCTATAACATTGGGCTTTACACTGGAAAACTGGCACCAAGGATCTCATCATCCTATCAGCTCTTGTAAGGGAAGCAAAACTCAGCCAGCATCACCTTAAACGCAGCTGAATTTACTAGAGCTTGTGAAATATTGTCTTTTCTTAAGTCTTTGAACTACGCAATATGATTGTCTTAAACCATATGGGTTGGTTTTCCTCTTTTTTTTTTTTTAGACCCCTATTTAAATATTATGAGTTGTAGTTGGGAGACCTCTAAGTACCAGTCTATCCCTCTAAGGCAAAGGCCTGCTTTAGTAAGTACATGCTTGTGATAAACTACATTTTGAACAGACTTTCCAGCATTTGTGTTGGTCAATGTACCCAAATGAATACTTACAGCAGATAGTACTGAATAAGGAACATTAACCTCCAAACATATTCCTGTTTTCCTCTTCTTTTACAGGGAAAAGCTGCTATCACAGAATTTATTTTTTCTTTTTTTAAACTTACACCCTTTACCTTCATGGCAATATGTAATTACACCAGGAAAACAACCACCACCAGCCCCGAGCCGGGGCATTTTAAGGTACAAGTTTGGAAAGATGGAAGTGCGCGCACTTGTTAACTTGACATCAGTTCACTTACACTTACTCCATGGCTTTTTCAACTCTCCCTAAAGAATTCATCTTACTGAAACAGCGGGGAGTTGAGCTACACTGATGCATTAAAGGGGTCATAGCACAACAGTTGGGCTAAAGGGAAGATCAGACTACCCAGTAGTGATCACTATGGGAAGGAGAGAGGAACCCTTCGCTATTAGTTAAACTTTCATTGTGCTTATTTGTTCTTAATACTAGCCCAGGAGGGCTGCATGTATTCTGATAATCAGAGCTTAAAGAAGGAAGAGGTCACTGTACACAGGAATGTGTTTAAGTAAAAGCAGAGTTATGATTTATATACACTATTTACAGTCATACCAACCCCCCTCACAATTCATCTTACCTTCATCAGCTTTGTCTCGATTTGCAAATTCCACGGTGTACTTGGAGCAATCTAGTCCTAAGAGTTCTTGCTGCTGTTTTAAAATTTCATCCATCAATCTTGAATTATTTCTCTTGAAAATACCTTTAAAAAAAAAAAAGGTTGCATGTCAGCCAACTCCTATAAAGAGTGCTACAAAATAAATTTGACACTAGGCAGGAAGAAAGAAGAATCAGGTAGTCAGTACCGGTTTCAAACTGGAGTTCACAAGTGCAATAAGAATCCAAAGCAAATGCTACTACACATGACTAATTTCAGTGACCTTGGAAAGACAACTCACGTGCTTTTGTTCCTCTTTCACCCAGCCTGGTTTAAGTAGCAAGCTGTAATTGCATAAGGGATAGTTTAAGACTTACTTCATTGTCCTTTGTACTCTAGCAATAGTTTGTGATAACAATACCCTACCAGCACAGGACTACCAAGTCAGTTTCTTTAATGCCCACACTGCTGTGGATTTGCAGCTTAAGTCTGCTACCTCTTACTAGCACACCACTAAGGCCACAAGTCACCAAAAAGCAAGCCCCAGAAGACTAAATCTGTATCAGGTCACAATAACTGTGCATTCCTATGCCACAGCCAATGCCATGGATTTCCTAATAAGAGGATTTCACAAGCTGTATGTTCCAGGGAGTTAATGCAGTCCCCAAGGCTTTTTTATACTTAAATGTTTACGGTAGACATTTGGAGTGCAAGAGATTAGAAAAACTTGCTTAACCAAAACCACTTTTGGGTGCTGTTTAAAATAAATTCTAGGTCTTGAGAGATGCAACACAATTATTTCTAATTAAAAGCCACAATAAAAATTGTTACAACTTAAATATTTACAGTGCAAAAGCGTGGCTAGGCATATTTACTTAGGAACTGATAATACTTTTATCACCTTGTATTCAGGGTTGTTACTAAGAACCTAAGTTTCATTCAGAAATTCTATGACAAGCACTTCTGTTGACTAGTCTCAAAATGCCCACACAATAGCCTTACAAGAAACTCTGAACTTGTGTAAATTTCATGATCAGGCTTATGGTTCATCACCTTAACCTGATTCTGGGATTAGAAACTGCTACAAACAGCAGTTTCCACATAGGCAGTGGTCAAACAGCGTATAAGCATTAGGTTAAGATATTAGGAATTAGTTTGCTACATGAAGTGATACAACACATTTATTTAATGTTAGCCTTCAGGCCTAGTGCATTAGTATTTTTATACAGGCTTCACTAGGGGTTTTAACAGGTGATAAAGCATCTGGTTTTCCTCCCATCCTGGATACTTCCTGCAAAAAAATAATTTAGTTCATTACACAAGTGTTAATGATACTTATAACTGATTTAACATGTTGACAGGCAAATCTGTCAGGTAGTAACCTTGTTAGAAAAACAGTGTTAGAATACTTTCACTAAGTCTAAACTAAAGTTAAATTGTTACACATTGTGCTCCTGATTACTAGTGTCTATTCATACATGCTAGAAATTGAGAATGCTGCTTTGAATAATACTGTTTGACACAACACTGCTTGGATAAGTCTGTTTTGTGCTAGAGTTAGCACTGATTGTCTTCCTTGCTCTTAAGGTCAGCAGCAGCCCAGCTACTGCAATTGCTAATCCCACACCATCTTCAAGTAAGACCTGTACAAGGTTGCATGTGCCTCACCTAAGAGTCACTTGATTTCCATCCATTTTTCGAGATGAGAAAGAAAAAAGCTACACTCAATATTCAGAAAAAGAGTTGGCGTAATTAGAAAAGGCTCCCAATCTGAGAAACAGACAGTTGCTCTCTTCTTCCCCTTCCCCACCCAATACTAATGATATCAATTATTTTTCTCATGAAAAGCTGTTGCCTATTCCTGTCAAAGATTGGAAGAACAGATTTAAGAATACGCACTCCAGCTATAAAGTAAAAAGACATTGATGATAAGTTAGGAGAACAGACTAAGGTGCTTACCACTTCGTAAAAAGGGACATCAGATAAAGGACTTGGTCCAGCTCTGAAGTGAAGGTCCTTAATACACACAGTGAATACTGAAGACCTTAGATGTGTTCTTGAGATTTACCTGAATATCATCAGCATTTCTCTTCTACTCTCCTCATTTATCTCACCCACCTCCTTAGTTGTTCAAACCTGGGTCCTGTGATGCTCTTGGAATAGCAGTTTAACATAAACTGGAAGCTACTGGTAGTTGAACTGTATAGCTCCAATACGTCTGTCTTGGAAAAAGACCTCCACACCTAAATTCCAACTAATCCACCAACCTTGACACACCTGCAGTTTTCCTGCACAGAAGATCCTGAAGCACATCAGAAGGTAGTACACCTCCAAACTAACAGAAACCTTGACTTAAAACCAACAGCATTTAGTAACTTTACTCCTTCAGTGTTTTGTCTCTCACTCAGAGCACAAGAGACTTTTCCTATGAATGCATGTGATGGCAAATACAGTCCTGCCAGAGGCAATGTACATAGGCCAAATTCACATTACTTTAAAAGTTCACATAACTTTAAAAGTTATTTTACATGGTTGTGGCTCAGACATATACCCCCTTCCTTTACAGTATCTCAAAACCTCACTTGTCTACAAGGTTCATTTAAGACTTTTAAAATATATCCAAGTTAGTTCTGGAAGACGCTGTTGCTAATTTATACATGATAAATACAGTAAGCAAGAGTGCATGAGTAGACCAACTCACTAACAGAATTCAAGTGTGCCCAGGCAGCAAGGCTTAAGTCTTGATTTAATGCTACCTTCCAATTTTGTTCAGTCTTCCACATAAGTTGAAAGCAAGTCCATAATATGATTTTAACATTATAGAAAGTTAATGTTTGACAAAGGGTATAATAAAATTCTAGCAATACAACAGCTGCTTGCTGTTAAGTGGGGAAAATTTCAGCCCTACTACTGTTTCTAATATGGAACACAAACATGAAATTGTCACTATTATTTCTAATGAGAAATAATTTTACTTTTTGAAAAGCAAAAATGGTTTTGTTCAGTCGTAACTTCAGAATCTTTGCAAGCTGGTGTAATTGTCTATATTCCAGCAAATAAAGTGTTTTAAGAATTAAGCATATTTAAGCATTATGATTCCCAAAGCAAGAGAGTATAAAACTTCAGGTGTTTTGTTGTTTGGTTGTTGGGGTTTTTTTGGTTGGTTGGGTTTTTTTTTTTTAACTACTGAGAACTTGTGAGCTGTTTCCAGGGATAATTCTTGTTTTTACAACACAAGCTGCAAACCTACTATTGATCACGAGTTCCCACTAGAGCTAAGGCAAACCAAAAGCGTTTTAGCCTCCTGCAGGAGACTTCCATTACCCGAGTCTTTTCCAGGGCACATGCCTTTTGCTCAGTTCTACAGTAGTTACAAGCCATGCCCCTTTGCAGTCAACTGTGGTATTGCAGCATTTTAGGTTCAGTGACTGACAAATGCAGTTTGTAACTAAGACGCTACAAGTTCAGCAGAAGCAAGGCACAAAAGTGACAGGAACTGCAAACTGGAGGGGAACAATGGGCACAGAGAAGCACCGGGTGGTATCAACCATTTGTTTGTCAGGCTAAACTACCACAGGCACCACCTGTTAACACCTCCGTAGCATCTCAAAGTTCAACATTCTCACTTGCCCTACTTTTTAAAGCAGCAGTATCTGGTACAACACAGACTAAGACTCAGTTCTTCCTTACAAGGGAACACCTTAACCAAAGTTAAGCCTAGGAAAGAATACATTGCCACAGCGTTTCAGTTATTTGCTTTTTGTCAACTCGCTTCCAGTGCCAACAAGGGAAGGGTCATAAGGTAACAAGCATTAAAGCATTAACAGTTTGAGAAATGTCAAATCATAACCCAATTCAAATAATGTACACGCAAGAAACTTTTAACACATGAACAATTTCTGCCTGCATCCTTGTGCTGGATCATGCTGGTTGATAATGGAGGAAAGCAGGGTTTAAGTCATTACACTGGACCTCACAGGAAACGGACAGCTAGAAAAATGTATTATGCTTGTCTATTCCAAGAGCCTAGAAAAAAAATATAATCCAAGTTTGAAAGTGGCTGAAGTAACTTAAGTTTCACTCACATTAAAGCCACTTCAGCTAGTGCTAACAAAACAGGAAGAATTCAAGTTAGAATTTGTAACCTTGCAAGTATTATTCCTTCCACATTTCTTCTCGGAGGGACATCCTGCACCAGGAGAAGAAGAGCTCATCAGCAATTGAGAGAAAAGACACTACTTTCATATTACCCATACCTTCTACAGATTACTGTCAGCCCTTTCAATAAATGTGGTCGGAGGACTTCTCCCAACTCAACACCAATACTAATTATTGAACGTGAAGTTTCACATGGATGAAAACCCACAGCAGATGCCATGCGATACTGGTATCTCACATAAGTGTTCTGATAACAGAAAACCACAACATATTTATCTCCCCCAGTGAAGTGAACACACTGAACACCCAGAAAGTTTTATGGATTGATCAGATTGGCTAAACTACCAAGTAATTTGGAAGAGACTAAAAGGCTACATTTGGGGACAATTAAAATAATTTATTTTGCTTACTGCAGTACTCTATCCTTTCAAAGAATTTCTAAGAGAAAACTGCTCAGAAGTAAAGCTGTTCACTGGAAAGCTAAACCCAGGATGAAGAAACCCAAGTTATTATTATTACAGTTATACTATAGGCTTTAAGGAACCTTCAACCTGAAGTATGTATTCAGAAGCCCAAAGTACTCAAATGCCAAGATTCCATAAGCTCCCCCAAAATGCTCTAGACTTGTTCCAAACTATTTCAGGAAAGCTTCACCGATGGACAGAAGTAACACTCAAGCAAGCTCTCCTGACTAGCAAAGTAGCTTTAACAGAAGAAAGTTAAAGAATGTAACACTGGTCAAAGGCTTCTACTCCCCTGAAGATACTTTAACTGCTACTATATAATTGCACAATCACTGCCTTCTGACTGTGCGAAGGCTTCATTATTTCCTCAGAGATAAGGTCTTGACCAGCATGGCTGGATTTCTACCAGGCAATAGGATTGGCAATACAGAAGTCCACAGAAAAAAATCCTTGATAAAAACCTAAAAGTTTAGTCAATCTGGACTTAATAACTGAACTGCACAGTAGCATTAAGTTTATTATGGCTTTTTCTGTTGTGTATCATTGAAAATCAGGAGAATGAAAAGGGCCCCTGAACACCAGAGGCAGCGAAAGCATGCCACCTTAGGTCTGCAAGCCTGCTGAGGCTCTGTTTTGAGCACTGCAACTCATAGCACCAAATATTTATTACAGTACAATATGGTTACTTACATTATGGCCCTCTTGCATTCTGCAAAGACCTTTTTGCCCCAGTCTTCTGAATCCATGAAGATCAGTATGCCAGAAAAGACAGCAAAGTGTCTGATCACATTCCACAAGTATTAACCAATACACTGGTCACATACTGGGTTCCGTAATTGTCCATGAGAATCAGCACAACTCCAGCCAAGTTGCCCTTACAGTTACTGGTGCAGCTGCCGTAACATACTAGTCTCAGCTGGGATGCAGCTACTTATTTTGACACTGAGAATACAGAAACACCCTTCTATTTAGTCACTTTGTTAAAAATATAGTATTTCACTACTATAAACAAATAAACAGCTTATCTGGCACTTCTTTAAAGAACTTAATGCTTCCTCCTCTTCCTATAGAGGGAGCAACTAAGGACACATTTTTAATTGAAGCTTTCTACAGGAAACTTACACAGTGTTTCTTCCAGAAAATGGAACCATGAAGACTGCTCTTGTAATCGAGGTTTCCTGTTGCAATGAGAAGAATCCCAGTACTACAAACATGCAATGAAGGAAAATGGAACAAACTATAGTATACCTCACTACATCTAACACAGATTCAGAGCACTTGTCATTGCGTTTCCTTCTTCACCACAGCCAGCATCAGTGGAAACAACATATCTTGATAAGTCAATAGTTGGTACACTTGTATGAACACAGAACCTTACGGAAGCAGCTCAGCAGACGAAAAGTAAGTCTCACCACACAAGAAGATGAACATAAGTCCACAGCACAATTAAGGTTCACCTTCTGCCACTGATAAGAGCAAGCAGTACCTCACTTTATTCACCTTCGCTGTACTAGTGTTACCGCTGAGGGTTCCAGACATCACTATCATTCAGAACTGGATTTAGCAACAGCCGCAACATCCTGCTTAATGATAAGTCTACCTGGAAATGCTGTATGCTCAATCCAAACACCATAAGGAGCTTAGCACCAAAAGAAAGGCAACATATCTGCTATTACCAGAAGTGTATACCTAAGCCATACGAATGACTATTCGCTTACTCTCCGAAACCAGTTTAAAAGGCTCAGCTGACAAGACGCTGTGCAAAATGCAGTTGTGGCTGCTAGCCCAAAAAGCTCACTGCACACCCATGAAGAACGTGCATGTGTAACGGCAGGCTGTTCTCATCAACTCTGGAAGTCTGGCAAAAGCCACCGATTTAAAACATTTTAGCTGCTCTCCATTGTCTTGCCTTCTTCAATTATGTTCCAACAAAACGGAATTCAAGCTGGCAATTAAACCAGCTTATTCTGGTATCAAAGGACCAACAGAAGAATGAACTACTGAAAAGGATTATGTCTTGATACTGAAGTCATAGCTATATTTTCAGATTTCAAAGGTTCAAAGGTGTTAACAAAAACTCCCCCCATGCACTTTAAAATGAATGTAATAATATATGGAAATGGCAGCACATGATCTCCAAGACTTTTTTTTTTTTTCCCCCTGAACTGCTAACAATGACAATTGTTCTGCAAGGTTATTTCAGAGGACATAACCTTGTCATTTCCGGTCATCATATTCCCAGTTTTCGATCTGACTGTATCTCAACACATGCACTGGAAAAGCAGAAGTAGCTTCTCCCCAGTGAAGGCACCAGACACTACAACAGCGCTGGGTCCTCCCTGTCAGACAGGATCTCAGCAACAGTGGCTGCCTAAGCACTGTCTGGTGCCTTCTCCCTCCTCAGTGTTGAATGGTTGCACAGTGAGCAAGTTGAAAGCCAAGACCACCAAGAAACATGACTCTTGGCTGGATCTGTTCCTCAGTTCAGTTCTCAGACATATAATCTGTGCAGCACAATGCAGGGATCTAAAAAGGAACTAAGCATTCATACATAACATATTAGGCAATACCACAGAGAGCTTATTTGAGATTTGACAGAAATTACAGAGATCCTGTAAAATAAAAGTGTCTCTCTTCAGGCTATGCGGGAAACTCTTGGTTGGTACTAACATTTGCCCTGCAGCATTTAACCTGGTTGAATGCTTTCCAAGCTGAGAGCAAAAAATATCAACACACAAATGGCGTTTCAGAAGGTGCTGAGTGTTTTGTGTGTCCTTGAGATGTTATGCAAGTACTTTATACCATTCCTTGACTTCCAAACGAGGAAGTATTCTCCCACTGAACACAACATCACCAAGTTCCACAACAGCCCTGCACAGATGGCCAGTTTAAACTACTAAGAGACTAGTATTAAGCCCAGCTTCTTAAAAAGATTTAGAGACTTTAGTGAAAGTCAAGCCATTTGAGTCTTGCATCACATATGAAGGACCAGACATGAAACAGAACTATTAAAGGTAGTGGTTTAAAAACAAAACAAAATCATAAATGCCTATGCTAAGGGAAAGGCCTGCATACCTCACATGCTTTTGCACGCTTGACAACAATAGATTCCACCTACTCACGTGGGATGCACTGTTGAGTTTTTCCCGAAAGAGCACTACAAGGCAGCTGTTACAGACGTTACCCCTAACCTGGCATAAATCTACAGAGTTAATCTAATTTCCATGATATCCCTTGACAGCCATCAGAAGTGGCTCAAAACAGTTAAACACCGTTCTTCTACAGTCTCACCATTGACAGCAAAAGCACAGGGATCTTCAGCATGAAGCTTTCTCCTCTGGAGATGACAGAAACAGGACTCGGTTCATCTCATGTACTATTAGCCCTTCTTAGTTGATAGCTTGTCTAGTCTCAGTTAGAGATCATCTCGCAACAGCTGGATAGAACGCTTCACCTAAGAATATCTTGAAAATGGCTGGTTTCACTTCCTCAGTAGGCAAAGGATAGGTATGCAGAAAATAGATTTGTTCCATGATTACTCCACAGAAAGTTAAATCCAAACTCTGAACTTATCTTTAAACTACTCAATGATGTGGAATTAATGTACCTGCAAGAGTGAGAGTTCAACAGTCTTACACCTGAGATGCAATAATGAATAAAATCACATAGCAGATATGAAAAAACACCAAAGCTTTCAAAAGCACTGGCTCAGAGTTAACTCAAACATCAAGGAGCACCAGTCTTTATACCAAATGCAGATCGTGTAATTTACTTTTATAACACAGGCAGCACACAGGACACATGTATTTATGTTTAACTACCCTTCCACCCTGTCTCTTCGTATGAGAAAGACTACATGAAAATAGATGGCTACTCTCATTCATCCACTTCTGGAAGTCCAGATGTAGCTCATAAACAGAACTCAGAAGAGCAAGCAGCCTAAAGCTCTTCTCTGCTAACAGCCCATACCCTACACAGTAATGGCTCTCAGACACCAGCAGTTCCTGTCAGCCCAGGCCTAGGGACAAGGGTCTGGAAAGGTCACATCATCTGCCCCCTCCAGCGAGGGGGAGGACTGGGTCACCCCAACCCAGAAGCTGGGGCAGGATGGCACTCGGGCCATTCCCAGGCTTACCAGGGCCAAGAGCTATGCATAGCCCCGGCATCTCCAGAGGATGGGAAAGGAGCTGCCAACAGTGAGACTGACACCCGGCTCGGGCAGACCCCGGCAAAGAAAGGAGGCCCCCTGGCTTCACGCCGGTGACGCCGACGGACCGGGCGGCACCTGCTTGCCCGGAGGCGCTCCCCAGGGCGGCCACCGCCCGGGCGGGGACCCGGGGGACCCCCAACGTATGACATTCCCCCCCACCC